CAGTTCCTGCAACCCTTCTTTTCGGCTTTGCCTTTTTAAAACACTCAATAATATATCTCTTCCTTTAGCGCTCCTCAGTTTCAAATAGATGAAGGGGCTTGTCGACTACGGAAGTGACAGCGGAAGCGGCTCTGACGATGAACCGGGCGATATTGTCTCAAATGCCCCTGTAAGTTCCTCTTTAAAAAGACTTGAAGTGAGCACAAGTGCAACTTTTGCAAATGCACTCCTTTTCTGTCTTGTTGTATTCAAGAGCAAGGTCTTTCCCAACATTAGTTCGATCGTAACGATCGCACAGCGTTAGATAGGTATTGATCGTCCAGTCCGCGGACACGTCTGACGATCGATACGCATCCAATGCTGTGCGATCGTTACGACCGACCATGAATGCGCCTTAAGATATGGCAGAATGACGTGGGAGCCATGATCACAGTCAGTGACTAAACAGTTTCTTTTTTTGGGAAAGGGGCATTGAGCGAAATAATTCCCTATTCGTCTTAAAACCTTCAACTTATGTAAGCATACCATGAGAAGCAGCAGCTGTCGTCAACTCAAACTAATTTCAAGGCTACTTTACCAAAGATCACCAAGGCCGAGCACTCGTCTTCAAATGGTGGCGATGATTCATACTTTGCGGAAGACGATGTTTTTGAAGGTGGAAACTAACTCTTCACTTTGTAATTTGGGTTAGTGAATTAATAAATTTAGCTTTCTCTAGGTACGTCCTCGCTGAATTTACCGGCTGTCATTGAACCCAGTACGTCGGCCACGAAAATCAAAGCTGAAGGCGAGCTAGAAGATATGGTTAAACCAAAAGAATGGGAAATCAAATTAGCCGAAAAGGAGCGAAGGCGTAGGGAAAAGAAGGTCAGTGAAGGAAAAATTTCATCAACGTTGAACCCTTGGTGACATCTTTTTGTATTTACTAGGAGGCTGTTTTTTAAAAGTGAACATTTGTTTTTAGTGCTCTCACAATCGAATAGCCGAAATGTGATAAAGTGTTGAAAATCAGCTCCTTCGGAACAATTTCTTTGTTAACAATAGGGCACAATAAATACCAGTTCCAGGCCAAGAAGAGAGAGAAGAAGGAAAAGCGTAAAAAGGAAAAGCACGTCGTGGAAGCAGTTCCTAATGGCCAAGAGAAGAGTGTGAAAGGTGAACGGAAATTTGTCTTTCCAGGTTACTTCGGTTTGTGGAAGATAAATGGACGAAAGGAAACCAATTTCCAATCTGTATAGTTTTGTTTGTTCGTCGTTTCGTTCTCATTAGTTATTTTGCAGGAAAGGCTAAAATCGCAGCTTTCGGTGCATTGAATGCGATAGCTGGCAAAAGCGACAGTGACAGTGATGATGAAAAGGTAAGTGAGATCTAATCGCTCACAAAGGGTTGCAAACACGAAGTTATGGTGAAAAATTCTTAGGGATGAGAGATAGCTTGCAATTAGGCAGCTTTCGTTGAAGTTGGAATCTTTCAATTATTCCTCTTGGAAGTATGTTTTAGGTAGATAAGTCGCCGATAGTCCCGAGCAAACCGAAGGGATCAGGTTTGTTATCCATGTTGCCGACTCCAAAGAGTGGAAAATCAACGATTGGTCTTGGTGGTGCTAACAGCAAGAGCGCAGGCATCATGCTACCGCCTTCAATGAGAAATAAGAACACTTCGAACAAGGCACGTTTTTTCCTTTGCTAAGAAATTTTCAAAATTCTGAAACTGGAATTCAAACGAGCACCGTCATAACTTAATCGGTAAATTTCTGAAAGGATGAAGTTTAGCGACGTATTTTCTTCTCCTTGATGAAGCGAAAAAATTTATTCATTTAAATGTCATGCGCTCGTTTGCTTTACCCTTACCAAAAAAGTAAGATGGGGAAATAATAAAAAAGAAACATATGACACGACGGAAAGCAATTACGGTCTAGAATTTGTTTTTTTTTTCTGTAATATGAATGCATCGTTCGTTTTTATACAATGATTTTCGCTGTTCTTTGAAGGCATCATGACGAGAAACAGGCTACTTACGAGCGGTCCGCGGCTTCAGGATTGTATTCTGAATTAGATTGCACGATTACCACAGATTTCTTTCGGATTGTCTCTGCAACAGAACCGAATTCTAGATGTTGGGATCGTTCCGCTCTTTGATCGACTGGCAGTAGTGACCTCGTAGGGCCGTCACGTCCCATGAAATCGGTGGGTAGCTTGGGTTTTTAAGTGAACCCCGTATTTTTGTACACACTGTATGCTCAAGTAAACATGCACTAATCTTTACGCTCAGCACTATAACACCCTTCGTTTTTTTTCGGTTGACTGAGGGTGAGTAATCTGGCTTTTTCAGGACGTCGATGTGGACGAGGCCTATGGCTATCCTGAAGTTGGTCCTTCTTCTAGCGAACCGCCAATGGAAGGAGTCATTACTGATGAGGTCGGATTTTTAACACAACACTTAATTGAGCTATTGGATTGAGTTGTGAGATTTGAAGTCCCCTTCTGTAATTCCCAATGAGGGGAGTATCAAATGCAAGCGGGGTAATGCTTTTTGGACTACGAGTAATTTAGTGGGGGTGTTGCGTCCTTGACAGTCGTCTATTTTCGTCACTGTAGACTTACAGTAGACAAGCAGTGCTTCCAGCCAGACTTGTTAGTTCGAGCCTTCCCTCCCATCAAGTTTTAAATATTGGTACCGAAAGCAGCATTACTGATGGCTAAACCGAATAAGTTCAAATTGCCTAGTGATGTCTCTAAGATGTTCAACTTTAGCTATTTTCATACTTATATTTGATCATTTATCGTGAGAGCAAACGGCATCGAACATAGTCAAGGTATTGTCACCAAGTTTGATGGTGTTCAAACCATCTAATTCTCAGTGTTAAATGCAACCCTTCACTCACGACTGAGGACACTGTCTTGGTTATGGTTGCGACGGTGGCCAGCGGGTGCAATCTCCAACCCATCCAAGCTTGGACGCCACTCTGGGTACACTTCCCCTTACCCTTCCTACCCACCTACGATCGAGGTCGCTGTCTAGCAGCCGGTGATTTGTCACAGGGCAGCGTGCGAATGTTGCCTCAGGACTCCTAGTGAGCTTCAACACATTCGACCGCTCGTCGCAGGCCAGCCGATTTTTCCACCATGCCCCTGGTCCGGGAACAGTTGCTGAATCTTTTGAGACCATCATCCGTGTGGTTTCGGAGAATGAATCCAAGCGAGGATGAGTGTTCAGAGTGTCTGTATGAATTGGCTGGTGGGGTCGGGTTATAGTGTTGCGTCTAATAAATGTGGCAGCATATTATGTGGCATTTCAGGTTTACTTTGATTTTACTGTAAACCCAAAATCCATGCTGTTGTCATTTTTAGGTTGAAGTAGGGTAGGTCCCGTATGTTTTGGTCTGACCGATGTTGGGCAGATGTCCCCCAGTCGGAACAGTCTAAGAGTAGTAGAATAGTCATAGTCTTTGATGTTTGAATTATGCCCTACTGGATGTGCAGAAGGAGGCTTTGTTGGTCCAATAAAATGCCCCAAAAGGTAAGAATATTTGAAGTCTGTGGCGTTGACCGTCGCACACCTTTTACTCAAGGTTGCCAGCGATATCGTTCCTAATTTCATTTTATCATAAGAATTTAGTTGTAAGATTGCATGATGGTTTACGACAAATCGAAGTTTAGGTGCTTTCAACTTGTT